GTAAGGGTAGAATTGTACTTTTAAGTGCTAAAATGGCTAGATTTCATTGTTTTACAAAAAGTGGCTATATTTCATTTTTTACTTCAAAAAATGGCTAAAAAACCGCCCAACCGAATATTTTATCCAACCGAAATTACCAATACCGCCGGACAACAAGTACCGACGCCGGCGCCGCCCCCGCCAAAGGCCGGAAGTTGGATTTTGCTGTTACCGGTTTTTTAAGAGGGAAGGATTCGAATGTCACAAACGTTGGGGCTGAGTGCTTACTAGTAAGTAGCGTCGAACTTCAGTATTTTGTACCGCAATCATTAGTCAACCACCGTGAAACGGAGGGATGCCCGGGAAAACGTCGTTGCGTGTTGGACCCGATGGGGTTGCCGTCGTCACCATCAACAACCCACCTCTCAATCTGCTCTCTGTTGACGGTATCTTTTACTCTGATCTACCCTTTCATCGCCGTGGGGAAAAAAAAAAAATGAAAGAAAAATGCTATTTCAAGATAATTTTCTTACATAAAAATCAAGAGTAAATTATCTGTAAATTTTGTTGATTTTAAGTTCATGTGCTCGATTATGCCATATTCTTGCAAAAAATGTAGAATCGTTATTGTTTTTCACTGTCCTGCTTTGCCTAAGGATTACTTACCATATGGTGACAACTGATGTTTTGTTCCAGCTAGTTTTGTGAACTTGAAAATCTTAAGAATTCAGGATTAGGAGGTGTGGAAATGATGATGCCGGTTCACTTTCGGTTTAAGGCCCTCTGTTGGGGGAGGGCTTGTTTGATGAAATTTTAACTTTGATGCGGAATTTAACATGTATAGGACAGCAAACACCAGCCTTTTCATTCTATTAATTTGTGTCCTATTTTGCTTTCTGGTGGTTTGAAGAGATTTTCTCCTGATTTTTTTAGTCGGTCGTTCTTCTTTGTTTTGGTTCGAGACTTGAATTGATTGAATTAGAGTTAAATCTGTTTTTGCTTTATAGGTCAATTGTTAAGAACTCGTATATGGTGGCGTTCTATAGTTTAGTTGGGTGTGGCTTAGTATATAAAGGTTAAAGTTGCTCACATTCATGGAAAAAAGCACAACTATTTTGTTTTTCCTTATTCGTTGTGGAAATGTGAATACCAATTCTATAGTCAGATGGTTTATGGGGCTCTTTGCACCAGGAATACTAGACACGGCGTTCTCAAACCATACGGCCTATATATCAATGCACATAGATCATTTGTGTGGGAAAGATCTTGGAAAATTAGGACATCTATTGAGCCTTAAATTATGTTTTTATGTTTTCTTTCTGTTGTCTCCATGTTCTGCAACTATTGCAATATGTTTCTCTACTCCTAGTGATGCTTAGCTTGAAGGAGAATATTGAGGGGGCTCTATTGAGAGATGACACGAAAGCCATTGTAATTACCGGTAAGATTGTGATTTATCTTGCCAGTATGGATTATTAGTTTTGAGAATCTTATAAGCTCCACCTGACCAAACAGGTGTCAAGGGAAAATTTTCTGCTGGATTTGATGTGACAACATTTGGTGGTCGTCGAGAGAAAAAGGGTAAGATTGATGGCATGAATTGTTTTCTGAAGATGTACCTCAGCAGCATTATGTTGTTCTAAGAAGTATAAGGCTGTAACAGAGAAAAAAGAGCTGGGGTTTATGTCAATTCATATTGTGACCAATACTTTGGAAGGTATTACTTCTGAACAGTTACTGCTGATTATGTAGGTGTGTTTGTTTCCCTTTATCACCATTAGTTTTTGGATTTGTAGCTGCGAGAAAGCCTGTTGTAGCTGCTATTGAAGGCCCTGCTTTCGGTGGTGGACTGGAAATTGCACTTGTATGTACGATGATTCATTTCGATTGCTTTCTCTCCCTTTTCATGGGTTCATGTTCTCTTCATGGTTTACATCTGAACTATTACAATAACCCATAATTCGTCATTTCTTTGGTCGTACACTATCTGCCCAATTCATGATTTAATTACATCATTAGTTTAAGAGGAAAAGGCTAACTTATCAATTCTTTTTTTTTTTCCTTTTTTTTTTTAAAGTAAAGTTTTAGGACGGAGAACAATATTTAATGTTTCTCTGGTCCCGGTTTTTTGATATGATAGTTTTCACTAGTTGTTTCAGACTTTCAGTTCTAGTCTGTGGCCTAGAGTCATAACAATCAATATTTTATAAGTGGGAGTGCTGACTGGTTTAGGTTTTGATGGTTTTAAGGTGATAATGACAGTTGAGTGCTCGATTTCCAAAGGTACAAGAGCCATAAGTGGATATCAAGTGGATTTGTGTGTGTTTGTTTTTCTTTTTCATCCTCTTCATTCAATGTATTTATTCAATAGTAAGCTAGGGTTACATGATAAATAAAAATATATGAGGAGTGCTTTGAGGCTGTCAGGCTGTGTATGATTTCAAGGAGAAAAGCTTGGTCGGCTTTAATAAATATTTTGTTCATTTCACAGGCATGTCACGCTCGCATAGCGACTCCCTCTGCACAATTAGGCCTTACAGAGCTTCAGTATGGGATTCTCCCTGGTTTTGGAGGTACAACAGGCTTGGCTTTTGATGCATAGTATTTGTATTGTATAGTTGAACTTGTGTTCCCTCCCCCC